TCCGAAGTCTCTTGCAAGGTCATTAGGGTTGGCCACTCCTGATATATATCTATATATTTTTTTTATCTATCTAAACAGAAAAACAGCGCAATTGCACATTCACGCATTCATGACGAGATCTTCGTAACTCTTAAACCACCCGACTTGAAATTTGATACATACGTTTTTTTATTGAGTAAAGATCTGCTAAGGACAGGATTGGTAGAAGTCGTCTCCCAAGAAAGGGGTGGAGTTATAAGGTGTTACAGCTAAAAAATTCCCGTTTTTGAACTATTAGGCCTACCGACTTGAAAATGGGTACGCTTCTTTCTTAATTGAGTAGAAATCCGCTAAGAACAAGATGGCCAGAAATTGACTCCCAAGTGGGGAAGGAGTTAAGGGGATGTCATAGCGTCAATCCCTCTTTGAGGGATCTGTGCCCATTTTCTTACACATGTTGTCAAGTCATCAACGTTTCGGTGAGAATTGCACAGAACAGAAAAACGCCTCTGGAACATATTCAAGACATGCTCATTCGTGTTCAAGTCGGGGGAACGTGCAAAGCATTCCACTCGAAACAGTGTTTCACATTCCACATTTTGGTTGACAGCGCAAGCACTATAAACTCCATTATCACTACATGGTATCAGGGCTCCATAGTTGCCAAATATGGACGAACATATGGGTTATGGATCCCACATCCCAATAAATAACTACTTATAATTGAATTCGGAATGAAAAGCGTGGATGTAATTTCGGTCTCCAACTGATATACCTGTCCAAATCATGATACAAGCACAATTGTAGCTGTGTTTTTCGGTGATAATGTGAGCTTGAGATCGAGTTCCTGGGGTTCTCTAGATCCGTATCCGGGAAGATTGTTGTTTATTCAGAATCGGGACTCATCGGTGAGCAATACATTAACGAATTGCTGTGGTGTACAATGAATAGGATACAGAACTCACCGTAGCCGCGCTCTTTTCGATGTCAGTGTCACTCGAACTGTTGATAGTCTGGAATACAGGTTACTTTCATGCAGCCGTTAACAAATAACATGTCGGAATATTACTATTCCTGATGACGTCGCAAAGCATGAAGAAAATTGACATGTTAAACTTGTCCGATAACGCCAAGCTTCCAGACACAGATAACGATACTCGCCTCACTGGTGTCTGTAACCATAGGTCAGGAATGGCGAACCTTTATGGATCAACGTGCCATTTTTTCTAAAAGAAGTGTTTAATGAGGTATATAGACGTTCCGTCAAATAATTTTTACTTGTGATTATTGGGGAAAAATAAAACTAAATGCTAACAACACAAAACTATTTATTTTTTACGAAAAAATACTTTCTGCACTGTATAGTTGCAAATGTTTTAGTTAAACGTGTAATTCAAATTAAAGTAAACATTGGTATGACTTCTGTGGCTGCAGATTGCGGATGATAAATAACTTATATTAGGATTGTAAGGTGTTACTTTTAGTAGAATACATGCTGAATTGGAGTCATCTGTCAAACGGTTTCTATTCAATTAATTATTTTTGCTGTGGTTCTTTTTTTTGACTAGATGATTTGTGATTTGTTTTAAAATGCCGTTTTACGGACGATTTTCTGCACACCATAGTTCCAGAACATAAAACACACACCGCTTTGTCGCCTTTACTGATGATGCCATATTTCTAGATTCATCAAATTTGAAATTCTCTGTTACACTTACTATCTTGCACTTTTTGTTCTTTTGCCATGTTAAATAACAGTTAAAAATCGTAAATATAACACAAATAAACTTTGAAATGAAGTTGTATCAATAAAATTGACTATGCTAGGAGTACACAAGCTTTGCATCATAAGCAATTGTAGTCCACGACGTAACTAAGACAGGACAATAACAAACGAGTGTGCTCCCCGCCGCCTCACGACCGATGAATCGAGTTTGTTCGTAATACTACACAGTGAATTTTGTTATTTTGAAATAAAATGCACACCATTTTGATCACTGGAGTGCCCAAAATATTGTGTCGCGTGCCATTGATGGCACGAGGGACACTGGTTCACTAGCCCTGCCCTAGGTTATCTTTGTGATCCTGTGTATTAATTTTGATAGTGATTTAACTAGCGCCAAATGATCAAACGGTTGACATGTAAGGCTCGGGAAATCTCCAAAATCTTCGTTCGACAGAATTGATCCGTCCGATTTCATACCAGCTGTGTTTTCACTCAATGACTCATTTGTAGAAATTTGGAACAAAGAAATGTCCACCGAACAAATGTAACATCCAACTCAACAAACGAAATACACTGTTGGCCATCGTAAATGCAACACCCTGAAAAAAGCATGCAAATAACATGAAATTTACAACATGCATTAGAGGAGGTAAGAAATGCAAATGATTAGAATTTCAGCCCAGACACATCACGCACGCCTGCGGCGCTACCTCAAAGCGCTATTTAAGGCTTGGAGATTTCGACGACTTCAAGTTCGACAATTGAGTTTTTCTTGTGTTTTTTTTAAAAAAAAAAGTCTCTTAGAAAACATCAACCAGCTTTTGATCAAGTAACCGAGTTCGACAGAGGAAGGATAGTGGCCTACCGTGATTGTAGATTATCTTTCAGGAAAATCGGTAGTCGTGTTGGACGAAACCAAACAACTGTAAGGCGGATATGTGACCGTTGGATGCAGGAGGGTACGACGGACTTCACGTGAGGACAGAAAAATTGTGCGTCTGGTAGTGACGGATCGCTCAGTCACATCACGAACCATAACACAGCACATTGAGTCTGTAACGCATCATTCAGTGTCTGCGCGTACCATTCGACGCCGTTTACAGCAGAGTGGTCTGTCCGCAAGACGTCCATTGCTTGGTCTACCCTTGACGCAGAACCACAGACGTCTCCGCTGCCAATGGTGGGATGAAAGAAGGACGTGGGTGGCAGAATGGAATGAAGTTGTCTTTACTTACGAGTCACGCATCTGTCTGCAACACCACGATGGTCGGATTCGAGTCTGGAGACACCGTGGAAGGAGGTTGCTGAACAGCTGCGTTATGTACCGTCATACTGGTCCTGCTCCGGGTATTATGGTACGGGCTGGTATTGTATATCACTCTCGCACTCCTGTAGTACGCATTGACGGTACTTAAAACAGCCAGCGCTACATCTCCGAGGTGTTGGAGCCAGTTGTACTTCCTTACCTTCAGGACTTGGCCACATCCATATTTCAACAGGATAATGCGCGACCACACGTGGCACGCATTGTCCAAAGGTTCTTCGTCAATCACCAGATTGAATTGCTTCCCTGGCCGGCTCGCTCTCCGGATCTTTCACCGATAGGAAACATGTGGTCCATGGTTGCTCAACGATTGACCCAGATTACACCCCCAGCTGCCACACCAGATCAACTTTGGCAACGTGTGGAAGCTGCTTGGTCTGCTGTACCCCAAGAACACATCCAAAGTCTCTTTGAATCAATGCCGAGGCGTGTGGCAGCGGTGATCTCCAACAAAGGCGGCTACTCTGGCTACTGATTCTGGCAGGAACCACACTTCACAGAAGTCTATAAATTTAAGCTTTTGATACTTGGTCAAAACATGTTATCTACAAAATAAATTTTGTTGTGCTATATTTTGTCTTTCTTGGTGTTGCATTTACAGTGGCCAGTAGTGTATTAACTAATGAAAGAAACCTGTTTTTATATCTATTGCATTACACAGCCCTATGTGGGGTTATGCACCTGTTTTACTGCGGAACTGCTTTTGCGTTTCACTTCAAGGTACATATGCAAATTTTGTTGCTGTAACCTTTCTTCTTCTCGTTTATGGTAATTTTACTGTTTTTTGCTTAATCTTTGAGACTCAATGTAGCTTATTTGGGAACAAGGAAAACCAAAAGGATATACCTATATATTTCGTTTCTTGTATTTCTTAGCAATTTATTTTTATTTAAAAATTCTTTACATATTACGGTATTTTAAATAATTAAGTAAAGAACTATCAATTATATATATGTAGGAGCATTCGAAGTGATCAAAATCAGCATAGTGATCAAATTTATATTAAGTGTCATGTTTAATAATAAGTAAAGGAAAAAAAATCGTATAAAGACGTATTTTAAAATATCACTAACTATATTTAAATTAGCATGTTACTCCTTGATAAGTAATGTACGTACTCGAAAGGTATTTTTGTCTATTTTTTTTAAAAAAATGTCTACAAAACTTTAGTTGCAGTCTTCGTTTTAATCTTCTTTCTAATTTTAATTTGACAATATAGCGTATAGGGTTATAACATAAAACTAAATTCCTTGCGCATGATTTGTATCTTTTGAAAGCGAGTCGGTTTTCTTCTTTCTAAAAATAGAAGCTTCATTTTAAAATGCATCTTTTTTATTCTATAAATAATCAGTAATTTTCTTTAAAAAATTCTGGCTTATTCTTAAAAGCCCATCTACTTAAACTTGTTACCAGAAAAGGCTTTTAGTTACGAAAACTAAAAATTCCATTGAATGACTCTTACTTCAAAAGCTCCTGTCTGAAAATAAAAAATATTTCTTAAGGAAGTTTGATATGCTGGGGAATATGAATACTGCTCAAAAATGTATTTTATCGATTTGTATAGATTTTTTTTTTCGAATATTTTAAAGGAAATTTTTACTCGAAATTACTGTTTATACAGGGCCATGATAATAATCTCTCAGTAAGTCACTATAATCTTGCTATTTAAATATATAATGTATAGAAGATTCTATATAAAATGTATGTGATTATAATTCTTTAAATCTCGTAACTACTTCGAGATGTTTTGATTTTTAAAGATATTCACTCATGATCTCACAATGAACCATAAATCTCATATTAAAACCATAGTCTCTAATGAGAAAGCATACAATACAAATAGAGGAATATAGACATTTAGTACACATGATGATCCCAGCATATAACAGAAGGGGTACGCTGCTTTCCTTTTGAGACTGAAATCCATTACAGACGAAAGTCCGACTCCTTTTCTCGAAGAAAGTGCAACCATGCCTTACTCGGGTTTCGAACCCGAACCCACTCGGTCACAAGCTGAGAGTCGTATCCACTATACTCGCTAGGCGGCGTTGAATTTGTTTGAATTCCTGATTAAAATTTCATTTGAATCTGCTAGAACTTGTTTGTTAATTATGTGGAAATATTTCCTATTTTTTAAAGCCTTACAACCACGTAACACTATGAAATTTGTAACTACTTATGTTATTATTAAAAACTAAAACTATTGCTAAATGGTAAGTTAAAATTTTTGCACATTTATTTACTCTTCTACTTTAAAAAGCTTTATTTTGTATTTCCTTTTCCATACCATTTGCTTTTATAGAATTTCATTCATGATTTCGAATTTTAATTGATCCTTTCATGCCATTTATACTAATGTTGGATTTATCTTTTTCCCAAAATTTACTGTCATTGATAAATTTCATTCTTTTCCCCATTTTTCTTTTACTCAATAAATAAAGTTTCAAGGGTGAATTTGACATGCGTAAATTTCTCATGACTTTTCATAAATTTAAATCATTTTCATCTTCAGAAAAAGACCGCATTTTGAGAATTTACAAAAATTATTTCTGAAAGCATTATATTTGATTTCAATTTAAACTAATACTCCTAAATTTTAGTAATATCCTTATTAAAGAAAGATGAGCATATATATATGTCAGGCCCCAGGCCTGCAGGTAAAATGAGGAGGGCATCATCTCTAAAATACTTTTTTATTTTGCTTCAATCACATAAAATCCAACATGACGGCCCTTTGGCGCGCAGCCGAGTTGAACAATAATCAACACTTCGGTGAGGAGTCATCAGCTAAGCCTTTTCGAGTATGCGTTATCCCTCGTCAGCGTTCGCTCCACCTTTAAATAGGCTTATTTATCCACAAATCCTTACGCGATGGTAAAGATTTCGCTCTATTTTCATTTATTACTTACTTAATTTTGAAGCTAAACTTTTCAAACCTGACATATATATATTCAGTATTTTAAGGTAAAATGCTATTTTATTTAAACTTGTTTGAAAAGTTAAAAATGGAAGACAATTGCGCATTATACGAATAAAACTAATGATGAAAGGGAAAAAAGTGAGTTCATGTGCCAATCTAAAAACTTTGCAACATTATACCTAATTATGCATTGTTTTATAATGTTATTTGAAGTAAATAACTCATTACTACATTAAAAATACTCATTTACATCTTTTGAAGTCGCTCACTACCGCTTTTATAGTTTCATTTAGTATAATTTATTCTATTCTATTTCAAGGTAATTTCCTGAATTTAGTTTGTGAAATCAATTACATCATCTAGTTTTTTGTTATTAAGATTTCTCTCAGAAGCACTTTGGAAAAGAATTTAATAAAGAGTTAAAATCAAATGAATTCTCGTCATAAGTGGGTGATTTTGCATTTCATTTACATAATAATCGACACTGAATTTAATTTGAAACACATCGCCTCTGAATTTAGATTGAGACTTTAGTTAAATATAAGTTACAATTTGTATTTTATTTCCCAGTAAGATTAAAACTATAACAAACCCTTAACTATAACAAAAAAGGAAGCGTTTTGTTATAGTTAAAAAATTTCTTTGTATAAAAAGATCTATTTTGTTTTTATTGTTGATAGAATCTGATTATCACACAGATCCTTGTGTTCACTTATATATTAACCCCTTTTGTGCCGCTGACATATATATCTGTCTTGATCAACTGGTGCGTTGAGTGCCTGGGACGTTTATATCCGTCCTTCCAAAGTACGATTCATGTCTTTGCACTGTTATCAGTCAGGCTGTTCCGCAGATTTGGAATGCAATAAAATGCCCTTGACAGTGTTGGTGGAGGATTTACTTATTTCAGAGAAAAATTTGCTTATTTGTGTCCACATGTGCGTGCCTATGTTTAGGAAGCGAATCGCGTTACTTTTAATTGGCAGTTAAGGGGTTTACCGTAGAAACACTGAATGAACTTTACAAGCTTTATAAGTATTTATTTTGAAAAGATCCCATGGTACGGTTTCATAAATGAGACATGAAATTATGAATAATTAAGAACTCTGACGGCACGTCTACGTCGTTTCAAAATAAGCTTGGCTATGATTCAATTAAAAGGTATATCATGATGTGGAAATAATGAGAGGGCTGGGCTCAGTTAACAAGCATCTCTCTTGCTATTAGTTAGTTGATGGGAAATTTCTCTCTCTCTCTCACATCTCTCTCTCTCTCTCTCAGCAGGATCTATTATATTGTTCTAGAATTTTTTATAATAGTTACAAATTAGTATTATAAACTCGAAATGTACCGGATGAGTGAATTGTTGAAAAAATTCATCTGCAATTTGAAATAATATTTCAATTTAATGTTATATTAAGAAATATATAAATATTTATATTAAGAAAAAAAATCGGTGAAAATATACTTTTCTTCAAAAGCATACGCAGAATATTTCAATTAAAATATGTTATTAATATTCTGTTAATTGTCTTAATGTGGGTCGATAAATGAGTACCAAGCTTGCTTGGGGACTTAAACACTGGGGGTCTCGCTTCAGACTGACCACCTGATCGGGACATCTGCTCATGCATTTCAGCGCCCAATTGTCACAAATACTGAGACAGTAGGCCCTGGACCTCATGGGCTGTTGCGCCACTGAGTTTGAGTTTAGTTGTCTTAATTGCTCAAATGCATTGACAGGTAACATACCAAAAAGTTTTGAGAAAACACTATGATTGTTTGCCTTTTTGCATGTAATTAAGTTTACGTATGAATTATAAAATGTTATATCATTGTTAAAATTGAAAAATTACGCCAAAAAGAAATCCAGAAGTGCTTTTAAGTATAGTTTTTAAAAATTATATATATATATAATTCCATTTCATTTTCTTCAATGATAACTGCTGAGATATTTCTGAGGTACTGATTTTCAAAAGCTTTTTATCGTATTATAAGTCATTATCAGTTAAACATATTATCAGTAACATATTATAAGTTAAACATATAGGTTTATTTGAAAACATGTATTCGAAACGGAAAACTTCAAAACATTTACGCATGTTCACGTGCAAAAAAGACACTTCCAAATTTTTACTGAATGATTCAACATTGAGCACATTCTTAAAATTGTTTTTCTAAAAAAAATAAACATTTATTTTTTACCAGTGTTTATTTAATGGATCATTTCCTGCTGCCAATTTCGATTCGTCAATCTTTAAAAGTCAATTAATCTATTGATCAACAACAATAGAACGTCCAAAGTAGAATACCTCTGTAAAAGCTGACGTTATTTTCTTTCTTCTCTTTTCATTCAGTGAAAGAACAGGTCACTGTTTCGATCGCCATTGTATATAAGTTTAATGTCGATATCTTGAATTAGAGACATTTTTAAAGTATGATTTAAAAAAAAAGATTTATAATATATCATGTAGTTTAATAGATCATTCATAATAATCCTATAATGTTAAAAAAAAAATTTAGTTGCCGTAGGCAGTAAAATTGTTAGATCTGATAAAATGTGTGGAATAAACAAATAAGTTAATTGTATGTGTGATAAATAATAAAGAAATTATACACAGTAAATAAAAGATTTTGGAAAAACGAGAAAATTTAATTACTTCTGCTATATATTTCACTGAAAAAATTAAAAAAAAAAAGGTTTTAAAAATTGAATTCATTGCGTTATTAAAATATTTTACTTGCACTTTAAATTAAAAGACGATGTACGAATTCAAGTATTACTGAATAGTTACTTCATAGTTACTTACAAACGTATTAAAACTTAATCAAGCTTTGGGTTAAATCTGAATTTCTGTTCACCAAAATTCAGTTGATATTTCCCATCTATAATTTAAAACATATTTATACTTTTGAAGGCGAGTGTTTTTCCCCTTCATCTGAGTATTAAAAAAAATTTGTTTTAAGAATGCCTTCGCCGCGAATGTTTTAACTGCCAATTTTTAAACACTTTTTCAAATAGAAAAATATCTCAGTATTAAAATAAGCTTCAAAAATTGTAATTTCGCTATACCAATTCTTTCAAATTTTTGCATCATACAATAAACTAGACATTTTTTAATTTTATTGTACCAAATTGAAAATTCACTCACATACTTAAATATAGGAGATAAAACATGGAGCATTATATAACCACTGAGAAAATTCTGTGAACACATATTTAAATGAAAATTAGTGGTAATTAATAAAATATTCAACTTTCTATAGAAATATAATGTCGAAGTATGACATGTTATGTTGAAGAAATGTTTAATGTAGAAAGAGTGTCTGTATTCTTATATTAGTTTCTTATAGTCCATAAAAACAGTCGTTAGGACAAAATTTTTAAAATCGTTACGAATGTAACAGGTTTTAGCAATGAAATATTGAATAAGATTGTCCGTACAAAGAGGTCTATTATTATCTCAATTTACGAAAGAAAATACACATATTCTTTCGTGATGACATTTGACTATTTGCTCACTCATGATCTGGGCAACGATAAAGTTCAAAGAAAAGAAGCGAGTACAGTTTTATGACCCATAAAATAAATTCTTAATGGCTCCTTAACTTGATGCAAACGCATTTACTATGAAAGGTTTCTGTTACTCCTGTGTATTTATGTATATGTTACCGTTAAAGCGTGAAATCCGTTATTACATAGAATAACTAGATATTTATGAAATAACTGGGCACACATGCCGGTTAAAGTATATAAAATTATTAAATTCAACGATTTAACAAGGTATTCTATAGAATAACGATTACTTGATCGCGTTAAGGCTGTTTTCACTATATGTACAAGAGCGTAAACTTAACGCGGAGCACATTTTCGGACAGAAAAATGTCTCAATCTTTATAAAAATTTGTGACATTGTAACTCACACATTTGTGTATAATATAGTGTTTTTAAAATTTCAAAATATTTCATAAATAGTTAGTTTTTTCTTTTAATATGTAAAGGGATAACTTGTGACGGGCTCACGCGTCTTTTCGTTAACATGTTCTTTGGGTTCTCTTGGGGCCAGAATTAATGGCATCTCTTTTTCAACCAAAACCCTAGAAGTGAAACGTGAATAAAAGAT